AAAAATTAATAGTACACTCAGTGACAGAAAGAATAAACGGACAAATCGGAAAGTGCAACTGTGCAATACTGAAAAAAAATGTAAGACACCTGCCCAAGAGTTATTATTGGAGAAATTATGCATACCCTTTGAAATACTGATGAAATCCCAAGTCTTGCTGGAACAATATGTTTTCCCAATTTGAAATATTTAGTTTAGCTTCACTTGAGATGAGTTGTCTCCAAAGTGATTTACAGCTGAATGGTATGTGAAAGTATGTCGATAAGCCTTGTCTTGTGTACTAGTATCAGCATTTTGTCTGGATTTTGTAAGCCTTTTAATATGACAGACAAGAAATTGAACCTGAATAGATCCTTGTTATTTCTTTTCTTTTCTGATCACTAACAAAAAAAATCAACCTGAACAGATTCTCCGTTGGCTCTTACGATCACCAGCTGTCCATAGGACAGAGAAGAAATTGAACGCCAATATTGAAAAGCTGGACAAGAAAGTGCGTGCGGTTTTACAGCGGGGACGGGAACAAGACCTTATACAAATGGACTGGCAGCGACACGATTGGATAAGTAAATTTTCCGGGAGCCCGTCCACTAACTCTAGTAGCCTGGGAAACCTAGAGCAGGAAAAGATGAAGTTGATTGATATTTTGACTGACAGCCAAAGCTCCAGCACTGTTGTTGCCATAGTTGGGTGCTGTGGAATTGGCAAGACTGCATTGGCACGAAAGGTATATGATGATTGCTACACGAGAAATGTTTTCAATACAACTATATGGGTAGATGGTTCCAAAGAGTCAACTGGTGCGGGGTTACTGTCCGTGGCCGCACGTGCCGCTGGTGGGAAACCTGGAACAGAAGAACAAAGTAGGGAGAAAATTATGGACATGTTGGCTGTAATGCTTGAAGGGAAGAGATTCTTACTGGTTCTTGATGATATATCCAGTCACCATAACCATGAGAGTTTCCTGGAAGACCTCTCGTTTGTAAAGCATGGAAGCCGAATTCTGATCACAACTCGAGACCAGAGTGTTGCAGCAGGAATGAATCGTAGCTACATTCATAATATGCAGGAATGGCCTTTCCAAGACTGCTGGACTCTGCTCTGTGCTAGTGCTGGCCTGGACAAGGAACATGATAAGGAGAACTTGAGGGAAATTGTGATAACAATTATCCAGAGGTGTAACAAGGTCCCACTGGCTATCAAGATTATCGGCGGTGTCCTAGCAACCAAGGACCCAACACAGGCGGAGTGGCAGCAGGTTAATGAAAGTGAACTGTGGTCCTTGGATCTGGAGGACATTCCTGGTGGGATGAAGAAACTGAGTGGGCCTGTCTACATGGCATACAGTAATTTGCCATACCGTTTGAAGCTATGTTTCCTTTACTGCCTGCAGCTCCCAGAAGGCTTTGTGATTAGCCAGCATGTTGTTACTCAGATGTGGATAGCAGAGGGCTTTATCATCGAAGAAGAAAATGACTGCGATCCTCAAGATATCGCAGACCGCTTTTACAGGGAGCTGGTACTCACAAACCTTCTGGAGCCTGAGATTGGCTCTGCTGACATGACAAGATGCACGGTACATGGCTGTGTCAGGTCTGTTTTGCAACTCTTAATTAAGCACCGGTGGTTTGGGAAGAACAAGTGGGCATCTAGTATTGAAGAAGCAGGAAATCTGACAAGGTTCAGGACAGTTATCTGCAAGAATCCCTTGGCTGACCGTGGCCTGGACAAAGTGTTTATGGGGCGGAGATATTTGAGAGTGTTGGACCTTACTGGCACCGGTATTAGGCACATTCCAGGGTCAATAGCACTTCTCCATCACCTTAGGCTCTTAAATCTTTCTCTGACTCAAATCATGGAACTTCCAGAGTCCATTGAGAGCCTCAGAAATCTGCAATTCTTGCTCCTCCGGTGTTGCAATGGGCTTCATTCTCTGCCAGAGGGAATCAGTAAGCTGCACAACTTGCAGTGCCTCGATCTTGAAGGATCAGCGCCACAGCTTGTCTTGCCAAGCTTGGTAGACTTGAAGCAGCTAACTACTCTGTGTGGTTTCATAGTGAATCATAAGGAAGTAACTGAGAAAGATGTCAGTGGGTGGCCATTGGAAGACCTGGAACATATGAATTCTTTGAGAAGCCTCCAGATACTGAAGATAGACAGAGTTGTGCAGTTTACCAGGGCACAAGAAGCTGCACTGGAGATGAAGTCTCACCTCACACAGCTTGATCTATGTGGTAGCACCAGTGATATGCATCTACACGTACCAGCGGCAGAAGCTAGAAGGCTCCATGGAGTTCTTAACAGTCTCTGCCCACCCGGATGCCTAGAGTCTCTCAAAATAGCAAGTTACCACGGGCGATTATTTCCAGATTGGTTGCCGCAGCTCCCCAGTCTCCAACGGCTGGTTCTTGCTGATTGCAAATTCTGTGAGAGCCTCCCTTGTCTCGGACAGCTACCTCAACTCAAGTTTCTCACCATAACTGGCTTTTCCAAGTTGCTCACCATTCAGCGAGGGCGGTACACAGGACCAGCATTTCTGAAGCTAGAGCATCTCCATGTAGATGACATGGACAAGTTGGAGTCATGGACAGGATTCCAAGCTGGTGACTTTCCTTCCCTGATCAAGTTTCATCTAGATAGCTGCCCCAACATAGAGTCATTCCCAGCTTGCCTTGAGTACTCCAAACAACTGACAAGCATGAAGGTTGTTGCTGCTGGTAGCCTCATAGTAATTGGCAACCTACCCATGCTCAAAGAGTTAATTGTGCAAGACAGCAAAACTCTTACTACTGTCTTCAATCTTCCATCACTTGAAGTCCTGATGGTCATTGGCTGCTCTGGGCTGCAAGATGTGAAGGGACTCAGATGTGTAAAGCACCTCCGCATAGTAGACAGAGAGCTCACAAGGCTTCCAGATTGGTTGACAGGGCACGCTTCAGTGCTACAGACGTTGACTGTATTTGGCACGGAGGAACTGCTTGGCATGTTAGTTCCCAGTGGCAAAGATTGGCCGGCCATTCGTGACATCGAAAAAGTTTATGGTAACCTGACTGATGGATCTCCATTTTTCACATACACAAAGAAGATGGGCGATTTCCAAGCATTTGGAGAGCAACGAGATCTTGTTGTCAGGTCAGTAGTTGACCATCAATTGGAGGGCTGGTCTTCACATTTCATGGCTAGGAGTTTTATCTCTCGAATCAGCATGCACAATACCATCAAATGGTATTTGATTCCTCTGCTTGCCACTGCCCTGGTGCTTTTGCTGTCCATGGTTGAGGAGATTAAAGTCATAGGAGTCTTCCTCGTCTTCTTCGCTATCATAGCATGCTTTTGGTGTCTTTACTTCTTCAGTATCTGCAAAGCTTCAAACTAAGATTGGACAAACCCATGTGGAAAGGAAAGGATCGAATATTTCAGTGGTACATATACGCATTGTAAATTTGCCTGTGTCTGCTAAGGGGTGCTGCTTGTGGGGTAATGGCTTACCATGTAC